GACTGTAAACTAACACCACAGAACTCTCTCCCCTGATGCTTTTAAGAATTCCTCCGGTTGCCCTCAATAAGTAAGAGCTGCTATTTCAAGAATGTATCTTCAGAAAGTTCCCTAAAAATGGACAGGAAAAAAGAAATGTGGTAGTTTCACATCAAAGAGTGAGTCGTATTTATGATGTCTGTGATCTACTGTGTTGTAATTTTGGGGGCCTGAGGTAGAGCTCTCCAAGGATTGCATTTGATCCTTGAGTCTCTAGGCTAGGCATCATTCCTGTCAGGCTGACTGTTTCTACCCTGAAGGCAGGTGACATGACAGGCATGTTGTGGAGTGGGATGCTGTCAGCCAAGGGGAAACAGGCTTTTCAATTTGGCAGCTTACAAAAAACTAGAGTAGAAAAGCAGCAAAATTACAGAATTGCCTGAACAAACACCTGTTTTCTTCAGAAAAGAGGTGTTAATGTTATTCTTACCTCACCCGAAAGTCATCGAGACTTCCACTTTGTTCTCTGTGCTAACCCCCAGCAGGTCCAACCTCTCAAATGGCAGAACCTCCTAGAAGTCTATGCCAGTTAGATCTGCAATTATTACCCAGTCCAACTTCCCCAAAACCACTTCAGCATTCAGGCAAATAGGAAATTGTTCTGGTTGTCTGAAGGACTACTTGCAAATTATTGTCAGCTGTAATCTGTTTTACAAATGACAAAGTCAAACACGACATTAGAAGAGAGACTGAAGATACACGAGTCTATTTTCATGTCTCAGATTCTTTAAGGTTCAGGACATGTATACAAAGAAAGTCTTACAGACTGCCTAGAAAATCTGAAAATGTAGATTTTTAAAGTGCAGCATATGACCATGGAGCATTTCCCTAGCATGTGATAAAGTCCATTGAATTACACTAACTTTAGACAGTGCTACTGTGATGGGTGAATTTGAGCTAATCATTTCTACCAAAACAGGCCTTCCAGTTTATATCAGTCTAAGGTAGTTTTCCAAAATAGGACAAACGAATTAAGCAGCAAGATCAGGATCTGCCATATATTTATTCTCTGAACCTTTCCTTTGGGAAAGAAGTATGAACAATGCAATATTTCAATGGATAGTTTTGAGTGCCCTTTTCTCTCTGAAGCATCAAATGGCATTCACATATAAAATAGCCGTATCATTTTTTTTCCCCCTCAAACATAAAAATGGCTATAGTAAAACAAAAATCACACCTCTGTCAACAGAAAACACATATTGAGGGATGCACAAAAAGGATAATCAGTGCTAATTCCTGAGAATGCTCCTTCAGCATTCCAAAATCTGCACCTCCACTTACAGAAACATAGGAAATGCCTCTGGACAGAAATCCCAGAGGATATTTCTTCCTTTACTTTATTTAGGTATTTTTGAGTCTACATATATTCCTAGCATCCAGAACATCCCAGAAAAAAAGGAGCTCAAAAATAACAGACACAAATTCAAAAAGCTTTTAGTACATCAGCTGAGAGAGAGCGTGTGAACACCAGTCACAATACCAGGAAAATAAAGTGATTCTACCTCCAGGAAGGAGCTAATAATAACATACTGTATTACTGTGTGCAGAGATCACAACTCAGGCTAACATAACCTGGTCATCTGTGTCTCAGTTTTTTATCTAGCCATGATGTACAAAATAAATACATTTTTAAACAGCCTTGTCAGTTTCAGATTCCACAGAAGTTCATTTTTGACTTGCAACAACAATATGGCTTTACTGTAATCTGGATTCAAAGTGTCATACTGTTCAAGAAAAGTACACTGTCTCAATATTAAACACAACTCCAGTGCTGAGCCTTATGTAAACTAACAGGAGCTTTTGGATTTGGCCTGACAATGACTCTATAAGGTGCTAAGAAAGAAAAAAAGCCAAAACACCCAAACAGTATTAACCATGGAAACTGCAATAATAACTGTTCTATTTCAGTTGGGATGGAGTTGATTTTTTTTCACAGCGTCTGGTACAATGCTATGTTTTGACTTTCGGACAAAAACCAAAGTTGATAACACATTGATGTTTTAGTTGTTGCTGAGCAGTGGCTTCACAGAGCCAAGTATACTTCAGCGTCTCAGCTTCTTGTACTGTCTTGCCAGCGAGAGGGGATGAGGAGGCACAAGGTGAGAGGGGGCAGAACCAGAACAGCTGACCTAAGGCAGACGAAGGGAAATTGCACACGACTTCATGTGAAAAAATTTGAAAAGCTGTAGGGAGTTGGCTGGGCAGGTAGCTATTGCTTGGGGTCTAGGTGGGCATTAGCTGTCAGGAGATGAGCAATTGCACTGCACATCACTTGTTTTGTATATATATATTACTATTACCCATTACTATTATTTTTTCCCTTCCTTTTCTGTCTTAATGAACAGATTTAATCTCAACCCATGAGTTCTAGTTTGTTATTTTTTTCCCCCAGTTCTCTACCCCATCTCACTGGTAGGGGGAAGTGAGAGAACGACTTTGTGATGCTCAAGTGCCTGCCAGGTTAAACCATAGCAACTTGTACTGCAAAAGCAATGTTGTTTGGTAATTTTAAACAAAGACACCAAAGAAGGAGCAACAGAAAGAGACGAGGAAAAACACAACTTCATTAGAGATCAATCACAATCAATCTACTATTTTACAATATCCCTTCCCACTATTTCACATGTGGGAGCACAGCAAAGTAAAAGCTGTCTAGCAGGATCAAATCAAAAGTTTCTCTGTTCAAGTATGTGTCTACAATTGTGGCAACAACAGAAGCCTATAGAAAAGTATAACAACATAGAGACTTCTCCAGGGAGTTTCCCAGACTTCAGCAATTTGAAGCCTAGAACTTTCAGAGAAGTAGTAGTGTCTGTTTGACACCCTCTGGGGATATTTGTTTTACCAACTTTAATCGACTTTCAAATGATTTCAGTCCTGCTGCAGAGCTCCAACTTTAATCATGTTATACGAAGAATCCCTTTCTATCCTTTCCAAACTTGCTACCAAATAATTAAATGTTCTAGTTCTCATGCTGAAAGAGGATGAAAAAAAAAAACCAACCTATTAATCTTTTCTTCTGTTCCACACATAATTTTACAGAGCATTGAACACAGCAATTTTCACCTCAGTTGTGCCTTTTTCAAAGTGAAGTCATTATTCTCATGCCTTAATTGGAAGATACCCAATGCTGTTGATCACTTTTGATGCCTTCTGTAAACCCTTTCAGGGCTACTAAATCCACTTTGAGATGAGGACCAGAACTGTATGCACAGATTTATGTACATGGTTTTATTAATAGCAGTGAATTTAAGATGGTTTTTTTTTGTTCCTCACTCCCTTCTAATCTTTAAATTTGTTTATTTGACTAGTACTTAACAGTGAGCTTATGTTTTCATTGACCTCTAATTTCAAGATCATTTTCATGACCAATAAAAGCCAGTCCAACATCCAATATGAAATACATAAATTTTGGCTTGTTTTTCCTCCCCATCAGTTAACTAGTAATTTCACTGACTTTTACATGCTGCTTTATGACTCAGTTCCTCAACACTGCAAGGTTCTTTGAAGATCTTTGCAGCCTGCTCTCCACATTTCTACCATGCTTAAACAACGAATTTGCTGCTGATGCTAATTCATCTCTTTTCTAATATCATACATCTAGCTCTCATTTTTTAACAAAAATAAAGTTTGAAAAAACATGAAAGTAAAAGAGTTTCATAATTTTATATCTTATCATTAACAGATTCAAAACCTCACAGTTGAGGTGAAACTCTTGTTTCAGTGCTTAGAAAACTGGATAATGGCTAAATGAACCAAATTAAGAGCACTGTTGAAATACTGAACTTATGGCAACAGCTGCCTTAAAGAGGAATACATGTCCATAGCCCTGAAACCACAGAAACTTGAAGTGCATGACAAACAAGAGCCTAAATTGACAGAACCTAGGGATGAAGGCTAATCAAGGCTAATCATGATGTTTGATACCACTGGAAAACCAACAAGCAAACAAAACAAACACAAAGCCACCAGTGCAATAAGCCAAAACACCTTTATGGAAAACTTCATTCATTTATATATTAAGTGGCTTCCAATTAATAACTGGAACAAAAACAGCAACAAAAAATCACGAGAGGGCAAATCAGTATCATCTCCAGTAGAAGTATTTCCTTAATGTTCTTGAGGGCTGTCATGATGATAGAATGTTAGTCTTATGGACTTGCTCTTAAGCCAGTAAATCTGTGTAGATGCCTGAAATCAGACAAAGTGAATGGGTAACATCCTGAAGTGAAACTTACCCTCTTGAATATGATAAGCTTTTTTAGCCACAGCTACTCCTAAGTCTCTGCTTGGAGGTCAGTGGTCTTTATCTCAAAGCTCTATCAAGCAGTCTGATGAGAGAACAAGAGCTATTTTCTGGGCATCCACAGCCTGCACAGTTCAACAGATTGTCAGGGAGCACAAGTAGCAGACAGTCTGCTTTAATCTGCTGCTTCTCCAAGGCTGATGTGTTAAAAAAAAAGTGCAGGACAAGCTAATCTGAGAAGACCAGCAGCAAGAGTTGGAGATCAGGTTAGGTCAGGTGTTCCCCATGACACCCGGACAGCAAGAAAACACCTATACTGTGGGTCAGCTATGAGAAAGTTCACCTCCTGGTATCACCACCTGCTGTGGACTGTGTTTTCACAGAGGCCAAGCAGGCCTATCTTCTCCATCTCTCTATATGCTGGGTATGAGAGAACATCTCTTTCCTGTTTTCCAGCTGGATAGGCTTCCCTTAGTTGTATATATTCCACTTCCCATTTTCTAGGAAAAGGATGAGCATACCTGCAGAAAATACTATTAGCTAGAGCTGCTTCTTCAGTGTAAGACACAAATACAGCAGCACACAAGACAGAAATTAGTTTTCTAAGAACAGAAATGTTCTGTCCTCACTTTTCTGTGAGTAATTACAGATGAGCCACTGTCACAGCGAATGCTTTCCGGTGAGTCAAATTGTATGTTTACACACAAAAGCATACCTTTTCACCAGGAAGACCAGCAGCACCATCCTGTCCTTTTGCACCCATCTCACCCTACAAAATAAATTGTTCAGTTAGAAGTTTTAAAGATCACTGACTCAGGTCATATCTTATTCAATAGAAAAGTACCTCCTTCCACTGCAGGTATGTTATGTCATACTTAGTAATATAATGACTGCAGAGGAAGATGCCATACATGTAACAATAAAGTCAGAGAAAATAAGTACATTTTAAAATACTTATGATATCAATTAAGACAAATACTTGCAAGTGTATGTAGAAAAAAAACCAAAACACTAACTGTGCTGATTTCAAGGGAATTCATTGTGACAGTAGAGTTAGGCAAGGCAGGCGCAAATTCACTACATTGAGTGCATTCAACTCTCAGAAAGCACATGGAAATAAGGAGTTACTTTGATCTAAAAGTCACACGCACATAGTATTTTTAAAAGACATTTTGAACTCAGTTACTTTTCCTTCCCTGTTACCCCCCTCAAAGAAACTAAGACCCAAACTGTAAGCAATCTGTTAGAAAATGTTAGTTTAAGAAACTCTCCTGACTGATCAGGAGAGGTATAAAAGGTTCCAGCAGCTGCAAATTGGACAGTGAATCTTAAAAATGATTAAAGAAAACACCGAACAAATAAATTTTGCTCAGGAATGTCAAGAATAGGGGCTACAAAGTTTAAAATCCGAGTCAAGTGGAAAACAGAGGATGATAGAGCAATGAAACCCTATAGCTTTTCATCCTAAAAAAAAATAAAATTTAAACTATGTTTATTTGTACCAAGAAATGAAAATTCACTAGTGAACAGAAAATACTACAGTCTTTTTTTGCAATAAACCAGCTCTTTACGAAAAGAATGTCACTGATTTGAAAACAATATTATTTTTTTCTTTGAGTTAAAGGAATGCACGAAGAAGGACAAGAGCCATAATTACACAAATAATTGCTTCTTATAAAAGGGTACAAAAATAGGTTGGGTGCTCAAATTCAAAACTGAAAGCCTAGAAGTTCTTGCCGAGGAATAAAAGTCCCATAACCTCTAAACTGAGAAAATGTAGAAATTTTTTAAAAAATGAGATGCTAGGAACTTGTAATTCTGATATTCAGCATGAGCAGAAACTTATTTGTATTAGGATGAGTTCACCAACTTTATCAATAAACACACTCCATAGCAACAAACATCACTTTATCATTATCTTTACAAATGGGATACACATACAGGGGATTCTTAATTCAGCAGCCCAACAGAAAGGCTTTGGAGAACAGCAGACGTCCTGTGCCCTTTGCAGCATATAGGTATGTTCAACCTGTGCGAGTGCCTTCATTGTTATGGGATGTACAGTTGTCCCTGAACTCACAAGTGAACCACAGCCTAGCAGCCTGGTCTCTTTTCTGAGAGCAAAGAGAGCAGGTGACCAAACTTTTTTGTGAGACCATCACTGTGTAAAGTGCCCAACTGTTTCTTACCTGACAACTTATGTCTTTCCATTAGGTTTAAAGTAACTTTAATTAATGTAGGCATGGTATAATTACATCAGCCATGTATCTTAGAACTCATTGTCAGAACAACCACTGCTGTAAAGATTAAAGAAAACACCACTATGTAGACACACACACAAAAAAAAAACTAAAAACAAAAACCTGAGAGCTTCAAAGAGAGAATACTGTAAGTACATTCATCTTTTCAGTGTAAATGTAGTACTTCTTTTACCAAATGATGAATTTTAACCTTTCTGAAGTTAAGAAAGGAATACCAAGATTGGCAAGAAAACTTTAAAGCATGCAGCAACAGTGTTTGCTGCATCCCAGACCAGCCATTATTAACTGCTTACTTCATGTTAAAAGGAGGATTTACAGTACATGTTTTCCTCACTGTTCCCTTCAGGCTGCTCTCAGCAGCTGCTGACTCAGCACAGCATATTCTGAAGAGCTGAGCTCTCCCTCATGTTCTATGCAAAGCCCCATCCAGCTTGGCCTTGAATGCTTTCAGAGAGGGGGCAATCACAACCTCACTGGGCAACCTGTTCCAGTGTCTCACCACCCTCACAGTAAAGAATTTTTTCCTGGTATCTAGTCAAAATCTACCCTCTTCCATTTTAAAACCGTTTCCTCTTGTCCTCATCCTGTCAACACTTGCCCTTATAGAAATTCCCTCCCCAGCTTCCCTGTAGACCCCCTTCAGTTACTGGAAGGCCGCTATAAGGCCCCCCAAAGCCTTCTCTTCTCCAAGCTGCAGAGCCCCAGCTGTCTCAGACTGTCCTGGCAGGGGAGGTGCTCCAGCCCCTCATCATCTTCATGGCCCTCCTCTGGATTTCCTCCAACTGCTCCACGTCCTTCTTGTGTTGGGGCCCTAGAACCATTGAACAACTATTGTTACTTCTCAACTACCCATAACATTTCTCTATATTCCTTGTCTTCCATTTTAAATTTCTAAAATCTATTCACAGAAACCACCATAAAGCAACTACATCTGCACAGCCCGACTGAAAACTCCTCTGTTTATAATAGCAGCCCAGAGATCACCAAACGTGAGCAGAACTTGGTGAAGAGCACTGCTCCACTGTCTGATCTGAGGACACTGATAAGAAAGAGTCATGTTAGAGTCATGTTATGGAAGAGTATACGAGCCATTTTTCACATCCTATTTTTTTTCAAATATTGGTGTGGTCCTTAATATAGGTATGCTAAATTATTCTGTCTCAAAAGTAGAACAAGGTGTTGAATGGGTATGTTGCTAGGAGCAGGATTAGTCCTTAGTTAGCTTTGCTTATCACCACAGTGACTGCCTTATCTATTCACACTCTGTACCCTTAAGCCACTTGCAAGTATTTTAAGAAACCAGAACATTCAGTGGTGTATTTTTATATATGTGTAGGCAAAAATTACCCAGCCTAGTACATGACTGGAAAACTTTAGCTGTATAGTTAAACACACTACGTTTACATTTCTGTTTCATTAAGTTCAAATGGATTCCTTGCCTTGAAGACAATTATTTTCCATGGCAAATTAGATTATTAAGATATGCCTCTATCTTATAACCATGACTTTAATAATCACACTCAAGTTTTTCTGCTTTTGTTCAATGAGTTTAAAGATCACATACTGCATGTTTTATTGCCAACAAAAGCGTTCACACAGCAGACGGACAGAATGAAAAAAAGGGCAAATGCATTTCTAAGAGCTTTTGGCCTGTTTTTACATAACAGACTTTTCTTTTGCTTCTGCAGATGTTGAAGTCCTTTGCATGTGAACATGCACCATTTTTTCTTTCTCATATAAGTAATCCCAAAGATATAAAAATAAGAATTAAAAACAGGGTCCCAGACTACCACACCTACATCTATCCCTAAATAAATCTCTTTTTATGGCTTAGCAAGGGCATACCAACACACTGCAATTAAGCTTTATAAGTTTATGTAATTAAACTATTAAGAAAGAACAAAAATTTACATTTGCTTAAAACCACCAAAATTAACTGAAATACAGGCTAGTAGCCATGCAAACTACTAGTATAATGCTGGTATTACAGATTATGAAGTACTCTGTGGATAATAATTCAAGGGTAGTACAGTGAGCTGTAAGTTTACTGTTAAGAATTTCTGCTAAGAGTAGCATTGAAAATTCTTTTCAGCAGAGCACAGAGTTACTTACTGAATAAAATATTTAAGCCATAGCATATCTCCCAGAATGTAACATTTTACAAACAATAGGACAGCTATTATACTTTTGACAGGGTTTATTTTAGTGAATTCCAGCAGACAGTGGAAATTCAGCAGCCTCAGCCCAACACACACACAAATGTTTCTGTTAGCCTTCCATAAAGCCAAGCCAAATTCTTAAAAAGAGATTGCAGTCTCTTTCCAATGATACCAGTCAGCTGTCTATCTAAAGTAGAACTAACTCAGCGCATCTGAGGCCATCTGCAGTACTAAAATTGTCATTATTTTATTACACTGATGATTCAGAGTTTCAAAAGCACTTGACCTTTACATCTTTCTGCCATTCAGCCATTACTCAGTGTTCCCATTGTAGAACTCAAAATTATATGCTAATATCAAACAGAAAATACAGTACCTTTATCATATATTATTATTGTAGAGATTTGGACAGCAAAGATATAAAAAAAAAAAAAACCAAACCAAAACAAAAAAAACAAAACACAAAAACCAAGCGGAGATATAGAGAGAATTACAGAGATAATTAACTAATTACAGACCTTTTCCTTTCCCACATAAAAACCCAAAAGCTTTAAGAGAATATAAATTTGTAATTTAAGAGACCAAATAATTTCAAATACATTTACACTGTGACATGGACTGGAATTAACATGACACTGTGATATTGAATCTAGAAAAGAAAGTCTACAAGAAACTTTGAAAGGAGTAAAATATTCTCAGCAGTGTTCTGATCTAACCAGGTTGTGATTTTATTACTCAAATAAAAGCAATTGCATTTCATTAATAGAAAGAATGACACAAACATGGCCTAAAGCACATAATGCTACAGTATTGCTCTTGTCAACAAAAAGGACATATTAGTTCAGATCAAATGAAGAGCCTATATCAGTTCTCAAAAGACTCCTTAGCCAAAGTTTTAAAAGACTTGATAAGGAAAATTAGCTTTCCTGGATTTCATCTCTGCATAAAGAATACATGCCAGTAGAATAAAAAATATCCAGATAAGAAAATATATATCATTATCAAAAAAGAAATATCTGCAGACCCCAGAGAGTTGCTACCAGTAGACAGTGTACTGTAGACAGTTACTTCCAAAAACAATATAGAGAAATGCAAAGGGTGTAACATAAAGAATGGAAGCTTTATACTACATCTGCCACCTATGTAATTAATATCAGAGGTAGTCCCTGTAAGAAATTACATAAACTAGAAAGCATTAAAATGTAGTTGCACAGACATATAAAAAGTTCTCATGATTATAAATTGTTATAGAAGTACTGGGACTTGGAAAGTGCCAACTTAGGGACTTTTTGTTGATGTGTAGAATCAGCTCGAATTCAGAGATGCTGACGAAGATGAGAAAGAAAATTAATCCCTAAGAGTAGCTTGAGTAAAGATAATGAACCAGGTGATGTCAGAAGTCCCTTCTAACCTCAATAATTCTGTGGACGAACTGGGAATGATCTCTTTCTGTGGCATCACTCTAGTGTTTCCCTGGCATTGTTGTAGAAGCTAGCTTCCTCACAGAAATTCCTGGCTGTGTGCTGACCTGGCAGAGAGGCTTAAGCCCTGTTTTGCTTGTTATCCCCTACAACGGGGCCCACTGACTACGGCTATTCTGGGATAGCTTCAGCTCTGGGGAGGAGATGACAGCCCTCAACTCTCTGAGCACCTCAGAGTGTTGAGTACTCATTACCACTTCTCCACATCTCTTGAGGAAGACCTGAACTGCCATCCTTAATCCTAATCAGATGAATACTAGAAAGATGTATGCAATAACGAAGATAAGAGGTAAATATTTAAGACATTTTCTAAGAAAATTTTCATATCAGCTAGATAATTTGGGCTATTAGACAGTTAAAACATTAAGTGGGACTGCCAAAAGATTCTATTCTCTGTGGCTGTGAAGTATTTTCTTCTGCCCATTAAAAGATTAAAATTTAATAAGTACTCTGATTTTGGGAAATTCACTTTGTTATCACTGACAGCCAGTCATATTTTGCCCATGAAATTTATCTTTTTCACGCATTTCAGCCTCGAGCTCCCTGAATGTATCAATAACCTCTGCAATTAAAATCAGATCAGAAATGAACTACACTGAAGACTGTAATGTAATAAATATGCCTTAGATGGAAATAGATAAACCTGGGTTATGAGGAGTGATACAGACTGAAGAAAGGAAAACTAGTGAAGAAAACAGGCAGAAAGAGCAGTGGGACGCCTTATTTGTTCTCCAAAAGTTATTTTTTCTAATCATTCTGTTACAAGTATTTTCATATGCATAAATTTATTGCATAAATCTATTTCTATCAAGCCCAAAATAGCATTTTAAACATCTTTTTCTTTAATTAAAATACAAATTAATGAACCACACTTCAATAGCAATGTGTGTGCATCAATAGGCACTTCAATGTTTGAAAGCACTTTGCCTCTGATTTTTTGCTCCCTACTGTACTTACAGCATTAACCAATGACCTATTAACATAGCTTGGAATGGGTTATTATTATAATCAAAATTTTAATCTCTTTGGGTTTCTATTTAAAATCTTCAGGGGGTGGAGGCAAAGATTACTTAATATACACTTAATTCCATAGCCTCCTCAAAAGAGAAAAATGGTCTGTATGTTCTGTATAATTATTTAAATTACTACCATCCATATTCCACCTTTCTGAAGATTTTCTCCATATGGAGGATAAAACAGAACCTTGACATCATGATTAAGTGATTTTCACTAGCAATAAATATATTTTTAAGTAGCTATACACCATGCTATAGTAGTAGAAAAAAAAATGAACAGATGTCACGGATTTGACCAGATCAATCTATGTCCGTGACAGGGGCGACAGGCCTCTGCCCTCCCCCCCACCCCAGTCCCACAAAAAATGGGAAGGAAGGAAGGGAGGAAAAGAGCAGCGGCAACAATCTATGGAGGAAAACTTATTTTACTATAATATCGGAATACAAGATGACACAATAGATACAATTTAATTGAAATTGAGATGAATAAATCAGACAAGGTGAGAGAGGGAGAGTTCCCGGGACCGAGTCAAACCTGAAAAGCTTGGAACGGCTAGGAAAGCAACCTCCAGCACCCACTGCCAGGCAGCAAGAGAGCGCCCCCCCACCCGGAAGGGCCAGATCCCGTGACTGCTGTAATGTACAGGGATAGGTAGCTGGGATTGGGGCAGTGACACTGTAATGCCCCGTACACTACATGATGTTTTGATGTGGAATACTGAAACCCAAAAACAAAAAACAAACAAACAAACAAAAAACATAGAACCATGACAACAGAAAATATGGTTCATTTCTCACCTGGCTGAGCAGCAATGGAAGCCTACCTCTACAAAACATATATCTAAATGTATTAAATCACAGGATAGTTCCATCTGACTTTTAAGCACTTCAAACTTGTGAAATATACTGTCCTGAGAATTAAGCCACTGTAAGATTAATTGAGAATACTGTTCAGGGATAACCTAAGTTGTACACTTGACAACTGTTGCCTCTCAGTTTTACCTGAAGGAAAAAGCTGACGTATGTGTTTTAAGGGCCTACACAAATAAACAGCAAAGTTGGTCCTTGTGACTTTCTTAGTCTCAATTATTCAGACATCACAGATCAGGAGGTTGTCCCCTGCTGCTGATAGCTGGGAAATACAGATCTCCAGGCAAGTAAAGTCCTGTGGAGCAAACATTGCTAAATTCAAGCTTGCACAGGAAATAAAAGGGAGAGGGACTGCTCTGCTTCCTTCAAAGTTTTTTGTTTGTTTGTTTGTTTTAAATATGAAGCAAGTCGTGTGGTACCAAACAGTCTGATCTTTAGGAAGACAGATTTTAAATAGAGCAGTTTCTCCACCTCAGAAGCACTTTTTCAAAGCCAATGGGAATATTTGTACAGTTGAGTGAAGAACTGTCATCATGATGTCCCAGTGATTCATAGAGTCATGGAATGTCTTGGGTTGGAAAGGACCTTAAACACCATTTAGTTCCAACTCCTCCACCGTGGGCATTGTTGTTAACCAGATAAGACAGAATAAAGCCATAATGAAAGGTGAGATTCAAATAGGACAGTCTTTTAAACAAGTGGAATAATTTTGATCAGTGATGCTGCTATAAATAGCTTCTAACTTATGCTAGAGGTGCATAAGAATTTGCATAAATGCCTATCCTAGTGAATAAACATGCATTAGTCTTTGTCTCTGTTCAAAAGTATTAAGATGAAATTTGTAAAGTGTATGGGAATGTAGGATAATAATTAAACTCAAAATGCCTAAACATGGCTTGTCAGATATCATGCTTTGTCCTAGTGAGAACGTAGATACTCCCGATCAGGCAAAACAGAGTCTGATCTGAAGGAACAGTTATGGTAGACTGAAGAGCAATTTGAGGTGGGGCTTAAATACAGCCTAACACCAATTTGAATCTGCAGAAACTTGCTTACAAATCCCATCACAGAAAAAAGAGATGTAAATTAAGTCATACTTTTAATTACGGTGGGTGGGAAATTGGAATGAGATAAAATAAAAGAGCAAGAAATGTGAGTCTCATTGAGAGATTCCATCAATAAAACAGTAACTTATCCTTGTCATAACAGCATCCAAGTAAGAACATTTAAATATAGTTGATTGGATGTTAATAATACGATCTAGAAGCAAAAAAGAAGAAAGTGAGAAGCAAAGTCTGAAGAACTACCAGTAAACTTACAGAAATCTCTTTCACTTTCCAATTAGTCTGGCTATCAAAATCCTCGGTAAGCTCCTATTTCACATGAAACACATTACAAAACATCTAAGCACAACCTGTTACTTTCCTGTACGTAATAATGCCTCTTGAATATCTGGAAAAGACTGCAGTACTGCCTGTCCATCTTTAATTATTGATGCCACCATCAAGAGTGTTGCTGAAAACTTGCACAAACGTAGAAGCAAAAACAAAACAAAACAAAAAAAACCAGCCCCACATCTATTTGTTTAAATCTTGAAAGGTTTATTTTTCATTAATCTAATACTTAACAGTTTTCAGTTTTATATCAGTTTATAAATAATTTGTACTTTGTACTTACCAACCATGTCAGACATGGTCTAATGCAATTTGCTATCAGTGATGGATGCACAGAAGTTGAAGGGTTTCATTGTTTTTCAGATCAACAGTGTGGTTTGGTAACCCACACTGGCTAACTTTACATAATTGTGCTATATATGCAGGATCAGCAAAAACCTGTGCTTAAGTTTGGAGGCTATCAGCAATCCTTCTAGGCTCAGCTAGGCTACAGAAACAATTTGAACTTTCTTCAAATATACAAGTAGCATCAAAATTGAAATGTGGACTGGAGGGGAGTGAAGGAGTTAGGAAGGGAAGACACTATCAAGACATTTACTCTGCATTTACTGCTGTGCAGATAAGCCCTTTCTGAACTGGACCAGTTTCAGCAGTGCAATCTCAGCAACAGTGCTGGATGTCTTCACAAGTTATTTCAGATCAAATATTAAACAGCATGCTGTAATGCAGGATGGTGGATAGGACAACTCCATCCTAACAGCTACATTAACACTCTTGCGGTATTGCTTGTACTTCTTGCTGACTTGCAGCAGTTTATTCAAGTTGGCACTTCTGTTAGTGCAATAAAAACACATTTCCAGACATTTCCCATCCAAAACATTTCAGACAATATTAGGCAATGGAGTATAAAGGGAAAACTATATGATAGACTGACTTTCATTACTATGAAACTTTCAAGCCAAATAGCACAGGAATGTCACTGTAAGCTCTACAGTGCAAAAACAAGGAATATGCCCAAGGGAGGTGTATCAACTGGACTGTTCTGGAGTTTGCCAATGTCAGCTTCCTCTCTTTTTACAATTAAGAAAGTTTCAGTAATTAAGAGTGATGACAAACAACATACAGTGCTGAAGTCATATTAGTGAATTCTTAGCCTCCTACTGATCACTGAAATAATTAGTCCACTGCATAGGATTCTGGCCATTGACAGTGCTATACAAATATATACATATCATAGGGAAATCCTTGTTGTGAACAACATACGTGACTTCTCTGTGTTTGGATGAAAGTAAGAGGCAGAAAATACACTATCAGTGTTTTATCTGTGCTTGTTTCATGGCCCCTGCATTCCATGGAGTTCTTGAGTAGGAGTGGACCTCAGCGTGGAACAGACCTGGGCTATGTGGCAGAGAGGACACACTCAGAACCAGGCACCAACTGATGAAGGTTTTAACCTCTAATAAAAATAGATACCTTTCAGGAATAACTAAACCTGGAAAGTTTCTGTCCAATAAAGAGAAAGAATGCCACAATAAAGAGAAAGAAATACAGAATGCAATCATTATTTACCTTTTCACCTTTATGCCCTTTCTGGCCTGGCAAACCAGGTACTCCTGGTAATCCTGCTTCTCCCTGATTTTAAAAGAAAACAAAACAAAACAAAAATAATCAACAAAGAAGCATATCCAAAATATATAATTGGTTTGAATACTTTGTCTTAACTACAAAAGCCTAACAAAACAAATGGGATGGAATAAATATAGCACCACATTCAAGAGGATTTAAAACAAGTAGTATGTAAAAAGCAATCTATTCTGAAGTAAAAATATTGACACTATATTTACTCTAATACATTAGTAGCAATTCTCATTTTTACTACTGATCCTTGCTTTTTGTTTGTCTTCATCCTTCAAAATCTTACAGCCTCCTGAAACTGTAATTTAAAAATTAAATCTAGAATGTACTGTTTCATAACTGTAAAATACAAACACATGCATTATAATAGTCTAAGATTTTTTATACAATAGTCTACATATAATATATGATATATAATAGTCTAACATTTTTTAGTAATTATAGAGAGGAACTCAAGTGCTTTCTTTTTTTTTATTATTATTTTTTAAATACCTAGCAGAATTAAGTAGAATAATGAATTAAAAAGCAATGGGAAAACATCATACTTTAGTTGGAAAGCAGTGGCATCTGTCTCTAGATTCTTGCTGTGTTCCTGGAAGAGAGTATATTTTGCTGGCATGAACAGACTCTGGTGATGAAGTAGTAGCAAGTAATCTATCCTCATGTGGGCACTAAAATAAAAACAAGATTTGTCTGATTTTTGGTCCACTGTTGTTAATAGATGAATACCAGCCAAATGCTATTTTAACTTACTTTGTTTTAATATTACTGCACATACCATGCTACAGAAAAGCCACAACTGCCAAACAAAGGAAAAAGCTGTAGTAAAACGAAGTCTAGATATTATGATCCTTCTGTACTGAAAACTGTCCTGGTCAAAACAGAACTGACTGCCTCAATTCTTTCTTCCTAAAGAGCCAAACATAGGAAGAAATATTCCAGGAACTATAAAAAAGTGAAAGCAAAAGATGAGGGGGAAAAAATATTCAGAGGCTCTCATTAAGATGCAATAAAGTCTCCCGTGAGCCTTCTTGTCAAAGAAATTCTGACATGACTTACTTCTTAGTGTAGAAATTTGTGATTAAGGAATAATTATTTTCCCTAAATTACGAAAAATTTAGCTCTTACGATTGGTAAGGGAGGTAATGAAAAAGAATAAAAAAAAGTGATGCTGAATTCAATATGAAAGTCATCAACAAGTACTCCATTATTTTTATACCTTCAATATAAGACATGCAAGTGAAACAAAGAGCTTTATTCTTCATAGCTGAAGGAACATTTAGGATGCTATCAATAAAGCATATCCTTGTTCTTCTTATGTTCATGTATAGTTCGGGTTTATTTTTTCTTTTCTGTTTCTGTATAATAACGGCAGATATTTTTTTCCATGTACAAAGTAAAACTTACAGAAAAAATTCATTCTTTTCAATTAGCCATGAGCCTATAAATTCAAAAGAAAGCCTGTGCTATGAACAGGAATATATTTTGAAGTACGTTTGAACAAGAATTTATTACTTAAAATTGAGATTTCCTTAGGTAATTTAGATTCAGTCTCTTTTATGCTTCTGATCACCAATCAGTTGTCAGTTCCCACAAAGTATTCTCAGTGAGTGAAGATCATAGTGCTCATGGTCTAAGAGAAGCCTTTTCTGAGAGATTGTTCATAACTAACAAACCAATATTTTAACCTGTTCGTTGTTTTGTTTTGTTTTTCTGAGGGATTTGCTTTTCTTTCCCTTCCCCCCCCCCCCAATTCCCATCCAAACAGGCTTAATTCAGCAAAACAATCACACATATAACTACTAGCATTTCTGTAGACTAAATGAACATTTTCCATTATGTACTATAATGAAGCTTTTGCCAATCACAATACATCTGTTTTCCCATGTTTTCCCATGTCATAATATTGAAATAAGGGATATGCCCTTAACACCATCCTGTTTTTCTTCTCTTCCACTGTCACATGGAGTCTTTCATGGGCTTTCTTTGTTTACCAGTTATAAAGCTAAAGCAGATACAACAGTTATTAAAGTAGCCTAAATTATGTGAAAGTGATGGCAGTGAATGTGTTTCCTGCTCTCTGAATCTTCCTCAATTACTAATTAAACAATAATCAATGTTAAGATAGGCATTTAAAAAGCACTAGCAGCACCTAGTGCCTTTTAATGAAGTTCCACTAAGCCATTTGATTCAGTGATAAGAAACAATGCACCTTGAGTCCAGATACATTCATTTTCAGAGGTTGAACACCTGAGTTGGACACTTTCACTGAAATTTCTTTACAACACATTATAAAGAGAAAATTAAACATTTTCTTTTATAATACCATTTTTACTTTAACAAATAACTTACCAGGTCTGCAGATATGTCACAACACGTATCTTCTGTTGCAACTTTTGGATTACAATAAACTGTTATGCGGTAAAGTTCAATCTATTAATAAATAGAAGAGAAGACATTAATATACAATATAAAAAATGTGCTATGGAATGTATTTCCAAATTTTTGCACAAGAAACTTTCTCTCTGAAACAGTGCATATTTCTGAAAAACTGCAGAAATTGAAAAATCCCACAACAAATGCTTAATTCCTCACTTAAGGAACAAACTCCACAAACTTTCAACTGAAACACGCTTTAGATTTCATTTTTCTTCATGTAAATTGCAGTCCTTTGTGCTGCTCTTGCTATGACTACATGGGCATTTTAGCCCAATGGATCTTCTCTGCAAATGTTCTTTTCAGGAGTGTAATGCAAAGGTTTGACAAGTTCTATGTAATATGTAACTTCCATCACTTTTGACAGGCCACCTGGACCTTGCCACTAAACCACCCTAAGAGAAAAGATGCTGAGCATAAGATTTCTATTTTACAAATTCATAGTGGATGAACAATGTCTAATTTTAACTAGTTAATCTTGCACTGTCCAGCTTTTACACAAGTCTGTAAATATTAGAGACTAAACCAACTTATTCACAGGAAAGTCTTGGAAAAGCCTAATGTCAGAGAATAGTTTTGCTACAATACACCTTCTGCAATTCTCTTTTTTTGTTACTTGCACTTGGCACAGAGAAAAATGGTTATGAGTGCAGGATTTGCTTTGCTGTCTTCATCAGCTTTACACCCACAATGTTTTTCCCGCAAGTGTGGAAAACTCTACTTCCAACTTTTACTTGGGATTATCCAACCTCTGCCATTAAATAACACAAGCTAAAAAGCATTTGTTTCTTTTCCTCCATGCTACTTGGAAATAAGGGGATGGTACATACAAAATTTGAACTCAATTTTACAAAATAAATAGTAGTATGAGCTTGGCCCATGAGCATCTCACAGAACTGATTCCTCTTACAATGCTAGCTTGTAGCCGCAGTGTACTGTTTCCATCTCAAACTGTATAAGGTACATAATATAACTGAAGCATTCAAATGGCCACTATAAACTTCAAGCCAAATGCTTGAATCTTGGTAATGGAATGTCAGTATACTTCAATCAAACTGCCATTTCCTGGAACTTCCCAATCACTTGCTCTGATCTCTCTATTCGAGGAAACAGGAGAATATTTATGGGACAGAACAAAGCCCATAATATTAAGGGACTGTCTTGAGTAATTCCACATTGCCCCATTTATCTGCAGATGAGGCAACAGCTTGCTTTCTTCAGGAATACCCCACAACAGCTCGCTTTCCTTGCATTTGAATTTCATTCTGAAGATCTTGTCCACTGTCTTTTGATAGGAAGGGATGGAGGAGAGGGACTACTTCACAACTGCCAGCTGCACCTGCAGTCAGTTACTTGTAGCAAAGGCTGCAGGAAATGTACCTTCATCCACTTCCTCAGAAGGTTCGTCTTAGCAGATACTACAGCATTAAATATTGTTTAGAAAAAAAGACCTAAGGACTGTAAATTAAGAATTCCCACTGAAAATTAATAACCTGATTTGAATCCTTCCACCTCCCCCCCCCCCCCACATAATTCGTCACAATTGTTTCAGTAGAAGTATGGATAACACACCACTTGAATTTTTGAGTTTTTCTTTGGTACTACTCACATCCACGGGCTTATCATCTGCAGCACGAGAAGCAATCAGAGTCCTTCCCTGAAAGTCAATGGTGAATTTTTCATCAGTCTGCTTTCTCTCAATTAAATTACAATCCAAATAGAGGGAAATGATCCCCGACTGCACGCTAATACCAAGTTTATGCCACTGCCGATCGAACAATGGATAAATTTCTCGACTCTTAAAAGTGTAATGTAGTATATTCCCCTGGGCAGATTTGGTCATATACTCCACAACCTTTTTTGAACCATCCAGAAGCACAGAGATCTGAAAGCAAGATGAAATAGAAGAAATAGAAGAAATGGTCAATTAAAGGTGAGAATAGGAGAGTTATACACTTTTACAAACTATATATAATAAAAATACTCCTATTAAACACATTGAGAAGGAAATACGAAGCTTTCTTTTATGTAACTTTTTAAAAATATCAGCTATAAATCAAGCATGCCTTCTACCCTACTTTGCAGTCTTAACAGAATAAATTTCCTTAATTTTTTGTCATTCCTACAATTAATTATCAACTATTTCAGAGTAGTCTGCCTATTCCATGTAAACTATAGCTAAATTCAACGGTAAAACATCTAGTAAGTTATATTTGTCATATTACATGGGGGAAAAAACCTATAAAAACTAAATAAAGGATAAATAAATCAAAGACAACTCCAACCTCGGGAGTATCGCGCCGATTTAAGATTTGCCATATATACCAACGCTCTTTCTTGGTATTTCGTCGTATCCGGAACGTAGCAACTAGAGAGTATTCCTCAGGTAGCCCATTTGGAAATACTTGCCTACAATAGAAAGAAAAAAAGGGGGGGGAAGGGGAAGAAGAAAAAAGAATCTTCATTATTTTTATGTACAGATCAGCATTTTTCAAGAGGAATGAACAGAAGTAATACCTGGTGAAATCCAATCTCGCTCCCATTCAAAGAATTTCACTGGCTTCAGTATTCAGAAACGTTACCTCCTACTTCCTCATGCTCAAAAGTGCAATTCAATTTATTTAAAAGAATGACTGAAAAATTACCTAATAATTTCTCTTTTTGTTTTTCTTTTTGAAATCATAAGATACTATAAATGGATGTTGTAAAACAACTGTTACAAAATCAGTGCCTTACATAAACAAACTTTAAAGCACTACTTTCCCAAAATTTTTCTTTTTTTTGGTACACTGAAATAAATTTTCCAGAGAATTTGTGGAATAATTTGTGAAGGATCTGTGGGATAATCTTCATCCTTGGATGCTTGTGAAACTCAGCAGGAGATGGCTCATAATAATATATTCTAACTTGTTGGTCCTGCTTTGAATAGCAGATTAGATCCTGTAACCTCCACTGTCAATGACTTGGATGTTTTGAATATTAGAACAACTGAAGCAAAAATAAGGAATATCTTTCTGAATGCATGTCTTGCTATGCTCAATTTCATCTTCCCATTTTTACTTGAGATATGCCTCTAAAAACAGGTCTGACTTGCTACCCACATCACAGAATGTGGCACAACACCACTTCTGTGAACTTCTGGAAAAGTTTGCATTTCAAAAACATGTTATTGAAATTACTCTGCAACTCAGTTGTACAGATTGGTAATTATTAAATACATACTAATTCTGAAATAAATTAAGATGGTGTCATCAATATTTTGTTTTTTGTTTTTTGTTTGTCCTGATTATTTATTTTCTAAAACCGAGGTGAAACAAAACTATATAAAGTGTTAACACTGATGGTTTTTTTACATCTGAAACAATGAACAACAACACTCCATGTTGCCCAACTAACTGCAACCAACTAATTACACTGCAAAAGGTATGCCATAGATCAGAATGGAGGAAGCTTGAGAGCCCCACTCAGAAAAGAAAAAAAAATTACTCTGGTTTTCATCCCCTGATCATTTGAAGTAAACGAAACTACAAATGGGATTATTATCACACAGTAATGTGCTATAGAGGAAAGAGAAAACCACCAGCTGACAAGACAATAACTGCACCACCATCCTGGAAGGCAGGATCACTTCACTTAGGATCTCAGGAAAAACGCCCTCTGTCAAGAGAGGCCTGCTTTAAATCCTCCCAAAGAGCTTCTTTATTGACTAACACCTCCTTAAAGTCCTTTATCCTGGAATCACATTTCTTTGGCATATTTCCATCACCTGATTCCTGTTTTGATCCCAGGACCAAATTGGCTGCTCTCCCACATTGTCAGCAGACCCATACGCATTGTTGCACAGTTACAGATGTTTCATTGTCAAAAGGCAAGGCAGAAGTGAACAGGATCTGCAGTACTTACATCTAGATTTCATCCTACTCCATACTTTCTTTATGACATGAGAATTATCTATGATTTCTTACAAAGTATACCTTCACTGAACATTACTGAAACACAAGTGCATCTCAGTAAACTATCTGATTGTAGGATTGGCCCTATGGTTTACCACATCTTGGGCAGACTGAGGACATGGCAGCTCAGGTTTACAGCTGTAATTTACACAGGACATCTGGCTGTAGAAGCATCTGTTTAGCTCTCCAAAAACAATCAGCATTCCCAGTTAAGTTCTTTATTAAGAGACACGTGGGAGTTCATATTAATGGGCAAAGGGCAAACAACTGCGGGAGGGAAATAAACAGAAGTCTTCATCAAATGAAAGGAGGAGAAACCATGATTGGTATGACATGTCTACAAAACAGACGGAAGTAATTTCTGGACTTGCTAGGTATTCTAGTAAATACGGAACACTTCTTTTCCCTTGTCTCCTATTACTGCAAGCCTCCCTGATGCTTAAAGTGTTATCTAAACAAGTAATGGTATTAATCCTCTAAAGTTCTGTTTCTTTCACAATATTCTCAAAAACTGTATGAGTGCAAATAATACAAAGTAACCTATGTGAAATTTTTATCAGATTATTTGAAAGCAGAAAAGTTCTCAGGTACAGATCAGTACTATTAAGGAAGAGTAGGAGTTGATTCACCATTAGAGCTGATAGAGAAATTTGCTTTGGGAAAAATGAAAAAATTACAAAAGGTTAAATTAATTCCCAGTGGTACTACGATAATTTCAGTGAAGTCAACTGACGAAGGAAAGAAGTAAGTAGAAACAGACCAAGGATAAATTTAGATAGATTAACAAAATAATTCACTAGCTCAGGAGGCCAATGGATCCAGTCTCCTGCTCCGAGCAAGGTAACTTGAAAATCTGCTCCAATTACTATGAGTTTTGTCCAGATGAGCTTTGGAAGTCTCCATTGACACAGATTATTTTACTCATCCTCTGGGAAATTTGCTCCAGTGCCTAGCCATGCACACAGTGAATTTATCTTATTTTAACCAATATCTAGCAGGAATTTCATTTACTATATCTTGTGCCTATTGCCTCCTGACCTTTTACTATGAACCTTTGATGGGAGCCTGTTTCTGGCCTCTCTATAACATGGATGTAGGGAGCAATGAGGATCCCTGAGGTTCCTCTCTCCCAGACCAGACAAGGTCAGCTCTCCTGGCTTCTCCTCACATACCATGGGTTCCAGCCCTGCAAAAATCTTGGGCCTCCCACTGGATTCATCCCAGTGAGCTCTTCTCTGCTTTCCTCTCCAGGGAAGCACTAAATTGGACACCAAACTTCTGATACAGTCTCACAAGTGACAGTGATCTCTTTCCCTGACCTACCAGACCTAATCTGGAGGTGTTAGTCGACAGCTGGCTGAACATGAGCCAGCAGTGTGCCCAGGTGGCCAGAAAAGCCAATGGCATCCTGGCTTGCATCAGAAATAGTGCAACCAGCAATACTAGGGAAGTTACCATCACCCAGTACTGTTGAGGGCACACATTGAGTACTGTGTTCAGTTCTGGGCTCCTCACTCCAAGAAAGACTATCATGCCCTGGAGCATATCCATTGAAGGGAAACAAAGCTGGTGAAGGGTCTGAAGCACAAGTGTTAAGAAAAGCAGCTGAAGGAACTGGCGTTATTTAATCTGGAGAAGAGGAAACTTGGGGGAGACCTTATACTTATATACCTCTACAATTACCTGAAAGGAAGTTGTGGTGAGATAGGTGTCAACTTCCCAAGTAACTAGTGAAAGGACAAGAGATAATGGCCTCAAGTTCTGCCAGGGAAGGTTCAGGTTGGATATCAGGAAAAAAATTATTCTCCAAAAGACTGATAATGTATTGGAATGGGCTTCCCAGGGAAGGGGTGGAGTCACCACCCTGGAGGTGTTCAAAAAATGCTTAGATATTGCACTAGGGTTTCAGTAGGTGTGATGGTGATAGGTTGATGGTTGGATGTAACGATCTTAGAGGTCTCACCCAACCTTAACAATTGTATGACCCTATCTTCCTAGGATGGCTGAAAATGTAGTTAGCCTTTTCACCACAAGGGCACTCAGCACTGGCTGCAGCTCTTGTTCTACGGGGCCACTATCTGAGCAGACATTAATCCAGCATGTAACATCCTATGGAGAGAGTCCTTCACAGGCACTGGACTTTGTGTTTGCTTCTGCTGAACTTCCATGAGGTCTCCACTAGCCTGTTTCTCCAGTTTGCCAAGATCTTTCTGAATGGCAGCATTGTCATCAATCACTATTTTCAATTTAGATTCTATGAAATGCTGCAAAGAATTTTAGATTACTAAATGAAATTATTACAGCATGGTTAGAATTGATGTAAACAAATAGCAAGTCAATACTGTTAGATAAACCTATACTACAGGTATAGTACACTTCAGAAACAAACAACACGGAATACCACTCTTGGCATAGAGGACAGTCTAAGACCATGCTTTACAATTACCTGCACAGTATAATGCTAAATACCACATATTTTATATAGAACTATTGTATACTGAAGACCAAACTGAATAGAAACAATATCTTTATTCTCCAATTAGTGTTTCCATTGTTTAACAACGCAAACAGGCCTTGCTTACCAAAATAATTAAAGGATGTTTAAAATACATGCTTTACATTCAGCCCTTCAGTCAGATAGTGAATGCTATGAGGTAAAAAAACAAATTGTAAAATACTCAGAAAACAAGCATGCTATCTATTACTATATGCAGTTTCCTCTAGGTTATTCTTCCTTGAATGACTTGAATTGAATGAAATAAAACAAAAATCATGTATCTAGCTTTGAAATTACACAGGTACAGATGATCAGTAAAGTGGTATAGAAAAATTTCAGTATTCCTCCCATTATATCCTCTACTCTGTAAGGCTCAATTATAGACTTTTCAGAAATACAGACAGAATGTATATGTTCTAAACGATAAATATAAAATGACAACTGATAGAAGGGGAAAAAAGCTGGAATAGAAACATCAATATAGAATCTCTTCCTCAAATATGAGAAAAGCAAAAAAAAAAAAATCTCAGAATATTGAACTTGAACTTCAGTCTTTGAATGTTTAATATGCTGTTTCACTCGGTTGCATCTGTCAACATTTAAAAAGGATTGATATGAAAAACTAACAAGGCATCACCAGCAGAGTAAAAACGATAAAGAAGTAGCATTAAACATTAATGAAAAAGACAAAATCAAGTTGTTCCGCATGTCCACAGATGAATAAGTATTTCCTTAAGTTTTTCCTCTTCCTACAAGTATTTCCTACTTGCTCTAATCTATGTGGCACAGTGAAAAGAGCAACAGAAAAAAGAAGAGAATAAGGGTGAAAGAAACCTGAACCAAATTCACCTAAGAGTCTACAGATGTAAAGCACAAATATAGAGATTGCTAACTTAGGTTAACACTCCCTGTTATCTAAGCCAAAAGCAGTAAGGGAAATAACAGGTCTTAAGTAAGAT